TGGGTATTTTTATACAAAGGTAATTTTTTTGTGCCTGTTGAAAATTAAAGTTTACTGACATAGCCATAAGAAAATGTTGCTTTATTTATCTGACCATATTGGAATGTATTTGTTAGGTTTTCAGTCAATTAAATTTGGTTCAATAAACTATATGTGGTCATTTTTAAAATTTTCAATGAACATTCAATCAGTCCGGCCCTCGGCTTGCAGCAAAATTTTTTATCTGGCCCTCCGTCCATTTGACTTTGACACCCCTGCACTAGTGTGCACCATAGAGTGCTGAGTTTAAATTTTGAGTTTTGAGATCTGGACTTTTTTTTTTTGTTTTGTTTTGCAACTTTCTTTTTTATTTATTTATTATTATTCATTTAGGTTTGCTAAGGGACTACATAACCCATTCATAAATGCTTATATAATTTTACACTCATATTTATAACATAAAAAGTTACCATACAGTACACTGTATACTGGAATATGAGTTCGAGTCCACGTCACGCTACCCTAATATGCAGGTATGCTTTCACCATAATGACTAATATGAAGTTACAACATGGGGATTTTTAATGGAGATCCTTTAATCGATTGTTAAATCAGAAACTCAGCCGATTACGTGACCCACCGTGCTGCGTCACCACTGGCTGTAGTCCTTGGCTCGATTGTTCCTCGCTGTCAAAGTTGAGGAGAATGCTCCCGCTGCCATTGCTCGTCGCGACGGCGCCGCCTGACATTCCAGACACTAAAATAACACCACAGAAGCCGACTGCACGTCTACACCTTTACCACCCGTACGTAAAGTGGTGTCAAAACACTGTCTGTACACTTACTGTGGGGGGTGTTGTTATTGTTGCTGCTGTTGGTCCCGGGCTGTTGTTCTCCAGGTGAGTAGGCCATCATTCCTCCGTTGCCGTTGCCATTGGTGGATGGAACAGATGCCAGCAGGCCTGAAAGATGCAAAGAAATGTTTGGAATTGAAGTATCAGAGTGGCTGTAAATGATATTGATTAGCATACTGCTGAGGCAAAAAAAAAACAGACTGATATAATCTCTGACAATCAGAGATTTTTGGTTTGGAAGACACAAGTTAAAAATAGTGAGTTGACTCGGTCAGATGTAGCGATCTTTTTTTCCACGATGTCCGTTTGGGCAATTAATCTTGAGTTCCCAACGGTGTGGAAGTACACTGAATGTACCACATTGCTTGCCCAGCAAGCCTGTGACATCCTTGTGATTCTGCTCTCTCTGAATGTGCGTTAGGCTGTTTAATGACACTCCAGTTGGACTTAAATGTTAAATTAAACACACAACAACAAAATTACACTCATTGTGTATCCGAATACAACCCATGCATGGTTTCAAAAATAGCATCAGTGCTAATGCTAAAGTCAATGTAAAATGACATTGACATATTTAAATTAACAAGATATTAGCATGAACTACTGAGAATGATATTCCTTGAGTTAACATATTCCACACATATAGAGCTCAATTGTCACTTTCTATGCTTTGTGTTGAAGGCATTATTATTCATAATCATATTCATAACCATAACATGATGTGTCCTCACCCAGCCCCCTGTATCGGCTCAGCTGCTGGTAGATCTGCTTCATCCTCTCGATGTTGAGTCGGCTTGCCTCGGCGTGATGCACCATTGGTTTCGGGTAGTGCACGCCGATGATGCACTTGGCGGCCACTTGCACTGACTCAGGTGCATTCCAAGGGTCGTATATGAACTTAGCAGGGAAAGCTCGGAGGACAGGTACGTAACGTCTGCAATCGCAGGGAGAGATTCGATACAACGCTTACACACGTGCGTATGCGTGTGTGTGCGTGTGTGTAGGAATGATCAAGAAATGGTACTAACATCTTAATTCATTTTAATTGAAGAGTAAGTTGTTCCCAGTTGCATGTGGAGGGGAATAGATTTTGTAATATGTTTAGATCATTACACTGTATATCAACTTTTGTCTTGACCAAATAGGGACAACAACCAGAGTATGTTTATGCCAGAAGCCCATCCTGATAAAAGCATCCCATTCAAACTTGGGCCTTAGACTGGACAGTGATTTCAAACTTGACCGGCAAATTGGTGCCGTTGTTAAATCCAGCTTCTTTCACCTTAGACAGCTGGCCAAAGTAAAACCTCTCCTCTCTCATGAACACTTTGAGACAGTGATTCATGCCTTTTTCACATTCCAGCTCGACTACTGCAATTACCTTTACTTTGGAGTCAGCCAGTCCTCCATTAAGCGTCTCCAGCTGGTCCAGAATGCCGCTGCTCGACTCTTGACTGGTACTCGTAAGACGGAGCACATAACTCCTACTCTGGCATCCCTTCACTGGCTCCCCATACATTTTAGAGTTATTTTCAAGATCCTCTTATTTGTTTTCAAATCTCTAAATGACCTCGCACCACCTTTTTCTATTTCCCTCATCTCTTAAGGGAAGGTTTTCCCAATCTTAATCAATCAGTGATACACTAGCATACTGGACCAGATTGTGTTTGCTCTTGGGAGGTTCAAGTGTGTCAGTCCAAAATGAATGCTAAATATTTGTTTGTTATACTTTTAGGGCCAAGGCTCTCATACGCATACACTTATACCATGTCGGAATTGCAAATGAGAATGTGTTCTCAATTGCCTTATACAGTTACAATGAATAAATATAGTACGGAAAAATGGCAACCATAATTTCCTGTCATTTAAAGGAAAAAAAAAGTTGTGTCGAACTCTAACATGAAAGAATTGGTCTACAGCAGACATGGGCAAACTACGGCCCGCGGGCCGAATCCGGCCCGTTGGTCTTTTTAATCCGGCCCGCCGAAGGTTGGTACAGTACACAATTAAGGTTCGATGTAAATTATTGCATTCATTTCATTTGGACTTGTAATACAGGCATTTAAACGCCAGGTGGCGCAGTTACTTGAAGTCGCAGAGCACAAGGAGGGAGGGGGAGACGATACGGAAGCCCGGAGTAGCACTAACTCAAGTAAGTCGCGCTCGATAAGACGAAATAGATGTATCCCCACCGCTATTTTCTGTCATTGGATCCAAAACGGCGACATGCAAGCGACTCTTTGTTGCAGTGAGTTTTACTGGAATTGCGAACATCTTTACATCCTTTATTAGAGCATGGCATCCAAACAAAGAGGAGCGGTAATGGCCGCGGAAGAGAAAATGAAGTGTATCTCATTAAACGAAGTGGGTTACGAAGTACGAAACATTCAGGAGACGCTAGGAGTCTGGAAGACTCAAATCTACGAGACTTTGAAAAACGAGGAAGCGATTCTTGCTCAGTCCGATTCGGGCTATTTCCATGCTCAGAGTGAATTGCTTGCGGCTCGACGGACAGTCAAGTAAATGAACGTTTCCTGAAATGGCTTGACTGT